CAAAATCAAATCAAGTTTACGAGGCAGCCATTGTTGAATTAAAACGGCAAGGTTTTGGCAATGTCGAACACCACAACGCAATTTCGCGCGAGGATTTCCAAAAAATACAATTGTCTTACAATCCTGCTGTTCCTGATCCAAAAAGCCTTCAACGATTTGTTTGGTTCAACATTATGTTTCACCTAATTCGTCGAGGAAGAGAAAACCTTCGACTTCTCACGAAGCAATCGTTCGCCATAAAGACTGACGCGACAGGAAGAAAGTTTGTTTATCAGGCGGCTGACAAATTAGATAAGAACCATAGAGGCCATGACAACGCAGACGATTCCCCAGGTGAAGGACGTATGTATGAACAAGACGGCCCATTGTGTCCAGTGATGGAATTTGAACTTTATTTAGCAAAGCTGAATCCGAAACAATCTTGTTTATGGCAGAAGCCTAAAGCAAAGGAACATTTTAAAGAGACCGACGAAGTCTGGTACTGTAATGTTCCTGTTGGTAAAAACACTTTAGGTACTTTAATGAGTCGGATTTCCAAAGAGTTGGAACTTTCACAAACATATACAAATCATTGTATTAGGACGACAGCCGTCTCGTTACTTGACGAGTGTAATTTTGAAGCTCGTCATATTATGCGTGTTTCTGGGCATAAATCTGAGAGCAGCATTCGCTCGTATTCCAGACGACTCTCAGAGGTCAAAGGTGGGTTGACTACAAAATTTTTGTAGTTCGCTATAACTACCGCTACTTCAAAAATATGTAGCCAGCTACAACTACTGCTACTATTGAACAAAGGTAGTTCGCTACTGACTACAGCTACTGCTTAAAAAATGTAGCGAACTATTTCGCTATTTCGCTACTCTATATTTTTTAGTTTAACGGTATTTGGAGCATCCACTAGCTCAGACTGTAATATAACCTACAAGAAATCGACTTACGAGTAGCAAAAGTTAACAAAAAGAGTAAAAGCAACATTTTTATAAGCACTGCAGTGTTTGGGAGTGCCACTTTTCATTGCGCTAAAATAATCTTTTAAGCAAACCGTGTCTTAATATCCTTCTATTCTATGAACGGTTGCAAACATATTTTAAAAAGTAGCGAATAGCGATTCGCTGTTTGAAAAGTATTATTATTATTATCCCCGAGCCGGCGGCGCGAAGCGCCGTGCGAGGGTACTAATTCCCCCCGGCTATTTACACCCGGAGAAACGAAAGCATTAGGGAAGTCTGAAGTTCATCAATGAGCGCGGGCGTCGGTCACCAACGATGGGTGGTCATCCTCACTGAGCTCAAAAATATGGCGGACTGTCATTAAAAGCGGACACTGATTGGTCCAATTTAAAGTTTGCATTATAACGGCTGCATGACGACAGCGAAATAGCAAACATTTGACATTTCTTGATTTGATGAGTTGATGATTGATAAATTTCTTGCAAATATTCTTCATTTTTGCTCGTATTTCTGCAAGATTTTGTAAATTTCAAGAAAGAAAGGGCGAAAGAATCAGCTAAAAGAAGGGAGCCGACGTTAACAAAGGTAAGTTTGTTTTAAATATTGATTTTATAATGGCTTTAAAACCCGACGGCCTTTGCGTATATGAAACTACTAAACAAGACAGCATATAATTTCAGTGTATCTTTAATATTGATTCCCTTTTTTATTATATTGAATTTTTTAAATAAAAATAAAGCAAAGTTATTTGCAAGCGAGAATTTGAAATCATTTTATTGCAAAACTCAAAGTTTATCGATAAAGCCATTTAATAGTTAAAGGCAGTTTAGTTTTATAAAGAACACTTTAAAACGTTTTGTGAATTGTTTGTGGTTGAATTTTACCTTAAATTGAAGCTTGTATTACGTATAATTACATACCTAACATAAATATGTTGGGAAATTGATAATTTTGTAATTAAAAGTGATATTTTTAGGCGATTTTTCATTTGTATAAAGAATATTCTTAAAAATTATCGTGTTACCATGGCAACTACTTTAGATACTTCATGTTCGGAAAATACAATGGTTTTGTCAGCAAGGCGAG